AGGGGACAGAAGCGGGAAACCCAGGAACGACTCAGCAATTTTGTCTGAAGCCAAAAGAGAACATTATTAAGGTTTATAACCTGACCCAGAGACCTGATGGCATCCGATCTTGCCAAGACAATACTACAAACGGCCTCTAACTGAATTAGTCTTCACGGGGAGGAAGGTCGCCAACTACTGCAAAAATTGACCACTTTAGCGCAACGGAGCCAGAGAGAGTCCACCCATAGATCCTGTATGAAACTTCACTTACGCTGGTAATCATGTCTATCTAAAATTCGTCTTCCGCTCAACTTTTACATCTGCTGTTTTGTTAATCTGAGGTATCTGCTGCTGACCCGCTCCAGTGCCTAGTGTCGGAGAGAAAAGACTCAAAGAAGGGCACACAACAGCTGTATTCCGAACAAGCGAGTGAGTGAGAGTGCGTGTGAGTGAGAGAGCGTTGAGCGAGTGCAAAAGTTACAACGGCCCCACGCTATTTAAAGGGGACTTTCTGACATTGATGCAGGCTGTCTGATAGGCGTTAGTGATCCCCCATCAACATCGATCGTGCCTCTGTGAAAAGCCTGAATGCTGATCACATTCGGTCGTGCTTCTGTGGCGCAGAGAACACTCATCAGGTTTTACTGAATTGATCGAATGATTAACTGGCCTGGATGCTTGCCGGCTTTCCAGTTGAGCTTTTGGTGAAGCAGTAGGTTCCGGGCGTTCAGAAGTTGATTTCAGGAATCTGACTTTCCTGATTTGAAGGCAGCCTTCCCTCCGATTGGAAGGAGGCAATTGATATCCGACTACTACGCGCTCACCACACACCTTTTGGCTTCACTAACGTACTGTGCAAGTTGAAGAAGTGGGGGCCATCGTAAATCACGTCACCACCAATAACTTGATATCGCCAGTGAAGCACGGGTTTCTCCGGAACTGTTCTTGCGTGACCAACATGCTCGTATTTGCGGACAGTTTAGCTAGAACTAAAGATGAAGGATTCATAGTTGATGCCGGCTTTTTACTTCTTGAAGTTATTCGATCGAGCTCCGAGCGTCCCGCTACCTCATGAACTCGAGTCTTAGAGGATTAGAGGGAGAACTCTACACTGGCATTTCTGCCAGACAGATTATTCCAGTTGAAATTTCAAGTTTCGTTCATGTCATACTGATTCGGCGGCCAACCGCTGATCTGGGAGGCCTGAATTACATGCTCCGGCTTACCCGTGCTGCGGATGAACGGCCCATTTGTGGATGGCGTATACTGTTGAATTTCAGACACTGGTCAAAGTAATGATCAGTCGTTCACACGATCTTCAGAACATGCGGGAATTTATGTGGTCAGAATTTGGCGAAAAGTTGCATGACTGGTCCATGGCGTGGCTGGAGAAAATCCTCAACAAAAGTCATAGCCTTTTTATGGGTTGCATGTGCCTCCTGTTGCTTGTAATGCGTGAAAGTAGGATGGAAGTTCCATAAACAAACAGGTTCAGTAGCCCGCATTACCACGGTTATTTCATGTGTCTTGAAGGTTGTGATTTCATATCACGAACTCATTATGTTATTAAACAAGCTACAAAACGTACGTGATGCACAGATCACTCCGTTTTTTAAAGCGGAATATACTATATGTCTTCCGATTCTCATGCTAGTTGTCGAAACGAAGGTGTGCAGTTTTTATGTACATACCTAATGTAAGCTGCCCAAAGAGCCTAACCACAACGATAAATGTGTGGTGCATGGCATCAAAGCTGATGACATTCCCCAAGACACCAAAACAAATTTTCTGCCACGTGCTGACAAAACTAAAGTGACCGAAATTATCACCACCAGATTACACCTAAAGGGTGACATTAACAATCTGCCTTTCTTTCCTTTCTTTCCCCAAGTCTGACGTTTTTTTTGTTTTTTGGTGCACATCGGAAATTTGGTATGTATTTTAGGACATGCATTCCAGCCATGTTTGCAATCTACTTTGTTTGTCCAACTACAATGCTCCCCAAGGTCACACAGCACCCCGAGGCCCAGTATCGGTGCTAGGCGTCAGTCTAGGCGTCCGTTAAATAGATCATGAAATGTTAGGTTTTCACAACTGCTAACTAGCAGACACATGAAGGTTCACATGAATAAAGGCATTCGCCCCTCAGGATTGACTCTTGTTAGGCCTGCTTAAATGAAGAAAACAGTGAACACGCAATGGTTAACCAGACGACGATACCTTGACCGCATAACGCGTGCAGATGGGTATTGGTGAATACGTTTATCTTGTACCGTGGTTTTCATGTCAGTACAAACAGTAGGTTGTCCAAATGAATGAACGGACGGGACCTATGGCTGAATTCTCGGGGCTTTAATGGCACGTGCAGGGAAACTAATTAGCAGAGACAAAAGATTCAGTTTGTTTCGCCGCGAAATATGGTACGTTGGATTGCAATAATGCTTAGTACAGACAATATTCACGGAATACCGGTGAGCAGCGGAGAGTTGCATAGATGCCCTTTATTTAAGCTGTTTCCTCGATTGGCCTAGACTCTACTTTTGACTGAAATCATAACATATAATCTCATCATTGTGTGGTTTGGTTGGTCTCCACGATATCATCTCGATTTTTGACTGTGTTCATTAGCCGCACAACACCCTTAGCTGAAAACTTTTGCAAGCGGAATAAAACTTTTTACGCCAAAACATTGCATTTTGTTGTGTATGTGCTCAAGCCAAAATCCATTCCGATACACACTCATATCTTTGCGACTCACCAAATTTCATTGTTTACTGAAGCGACCATACCTCTAGCGGAAGAAGTCTGGTGCAGTACTTTCCTGGCATTCCTAACACCCCGGGATGCATGGATGAGGCTCGTATTCTGAACTCAATTGCCTCTCTTTTGATCCAACAGGGCACGTGATAGCTTTCGAAAATTCAATTCCATTGTGCGAATACTGAGTGCCGTGATGAGACGTTTGCAGTCCAATTGCCAAGCTCCGCGAATAGAACAACAACCAATCAGAAAGCGTTGTCACAGATGGTTAATCTACTATCCACCATAAACAGCAGACTCCACATTGCCTCAAAAAACACCAGCATAGCTTCTTTTAAATCTTTTCATGACAGTGAGTGCTCGCGGTGGAAAGGTGAAAACCGCCCGACACACCAACCTATCTCGCCCACTAGAGTGAACTTGCAGAAGTACATTGTCGGAGCATCCTACGATATATCATCATTCACTCTCGAAGTACGCAAGCAAATATCCGTCGAACAGATGTACTTGGAAGCTGATAATCGTGTAAAGGGAACGTGGTGCAAAGTGAGCAACTGAGTCCTGCTCAAAACTACGCTGATTGGCGTGATAGGTCCCACGTGCCATAGAAAACCGACGGGAAAGATAAGTATCATCAAAGTTCCATGACAGTGTTCAGGTCATGACTCTCGTCTCAAGAATCTACCTAGTTTACACTTGACCAGAGGCTTCGGCCCTTTATTCAGAGGAAATTCAGGTTGCATTGTGATCATTTTAATGGAGACAACCGGGAATAACTTGATAACTTCTTAGCCCCTCACACACAACATTATAACTGGGATTCTTGTTCCAGACAGATCGCAAAGCATGGTGAATTCAGTCGCACAGGCTGAAGCCAACAGAACTGACCTTTTGAGGACGGCTCAGCTTCGGGTAGCTGAAGCAAGACGACAATTTAGTCATGCCAGACAGTAGTATGCTGGCCTTCTGCATACGCATTCGTTATTTCATGTGGTACTTTCATGTGCTGCTCTATGATTGCTCATGGACCGTGGTAATCTGAAGTGGACTTTGATGCTCACGGAAACACCGTTACAACGAATGCTACAGCAACCGACAGTATATGTTGTTGAAAAACACTCCGCATTCGTTAGTATAACGGTGTATACCACTGATGAATCATGCATGTAGTGTCTGGTCAAGAGTCCAGGTGATGTCCCCGCATCTGATGGAAAGACGAAATGAAATTTATCGAACCGCTACGCAGCCTTTTATTATTATTGTTTGATATTCAAGCAGCATTCAGGAACGTTGAACAAAAATCCTGAGGATGCTCGTGTTTCGAAAGCCATTTGCAAGTGAAATTTTACCTTCGTCTTTGATAGACTGTACCGGCTTAGTTCGCGTTAGGATATAACTTCAAATTTGGGGCTTCCTTCCTACTACTCTTCTGGACGGTTCACTGCAGTGAGAAGTGCTCGAGAAATACCTGTGGAGTCGCGCATACCGGCTTTCGATTATAGAGTTGGTTTCCTCACCCGGCGGTAAGCCTAATCGTGTAACGACTAGAGTGTGGAACAAAGTTTGTACGGTAAAATAGACGAGGTTCTTTATATCTCCTGATAGTACAATAATGAAGCCACTTGACCGCGTTGACGCATTTTGAAAGGCCTATATGTGGTGGCCTAGTTGTGTATCCCCTGGATTCTCCCAAAGATTGAACTTCTTTATTGACTTAGGGACTTTTAGTTTCCTTTCAGACGAAGTCGCGAAACTCCCTCGTAGTATGCGACTGAGGTTCAACTTGGAAAGAACGGCACTTTGGTAGTCTACGGGGCTTGAGATCCCATACGTCTGAGTCATGCAATAACCATGCCAGAAGCGATGTTACACTTCAGTACGAAGTCAACCACTGATTTAAATAACCTAATGATCTTTTAGATCGGTTTGGAAACAAAACATTTCACCATTTTTCAACTGACGTTGGCTCGGGTGTACAACTAAGACCGAGTCTGACCTTCACTTCAAACTGAATGCCTGCTAAGGCGGCAAACTTGCGCAAGGATCTTCGTAATTGAGTTCTGATCAGGACACGCGAGATGTTGATCTCGCAGGAGGGGAAAACTCAAGGGAAACTGGTAAATGGTCGCATTGCACTGCACATCGAGTCTCTGTCCGTATCTCCACCAGAAATTCCGAACCAGTCACGGTATACCACGGGTTTTGCCAACAACTTCATTTTATAGAGAAACACATTTATAAAACTATGAAAAGGTATGATTGGCACGGACGCTTCTTGCTGTATTGTAGACGGAACCGGGTGGAGATCTTTAGAAAATGTGCCAACCGAGGGATTGTTCTTGACCGTAAAATGAGACCGCCTCATATATGAGACGTGGAACAGTACAGTTGAGCAAACACTGTATCATTAAAGTCTCTGTCCAGTGAATGTGTGTCCTGTTCCCTGATTAATTTCCGAATCAACCAATACTCCATACAGTCGTAGGCTTCAGGCTGAACAGTCGGTGTAAATTTGTTGGCAAACAGTTGTGGCGCCTTTATCATCATTGGTAAATGTTTCAGGCCGAGTAGGCAAACTTCATTTCGCCAACGCTTTGTATGGCACGTTGTGTCTTTCCAGCTGACGTAGCGGATAAGAAACATGGTTCTGGGATCCGTGGAGTCTCCGCGTGCTCGGTATAGACATGCACCAGGCGCGCCAAGATGTGGGTTGTAAGCCAGAGTGGAGAAAAACATTTCATCCGGGATGGTAATGTGACCACGACCAGATTGTAGTGCATCCAAAATCGCCAATGCCTTTGGATTGCGAAGCATGAAAACGACAAAGTCTCGTCGTAGAGCTACCAAGAAACTGCCCTTGTACCAGGTAACCTGAAAATGAATGAACAGAGTCGACATGTAAATAGGCAGTCTTGTCTGACTCCAATAAGACACAAGATGTTTGTGATAAGATGCTGCAATATTTTATAACTGTGGTATTGAGGCCAGAATAGGAATGCTATTCTCATAGTTGTCGTCACCATATTTGTCATAATCAACATCATAAACAATGAACACAGCGATACGGAGACTAATTTCAGGGGCCCAACTCATCTTCATTCAGAAAGCAGTCACCCGAAAATGAGTAACATAAATCAAATTTTTCTAGGGTATGAATCTTGCTCAGCGGTAGTCGTTCCGCTTATCATTGTTGAGACATTAGAACATTTGTGCTTGTGTAGACGCCTCGATGTGGGAGCGCATCAATCCTCTCTATGGACTAGTTTGAGGGACCGTACAATCAGAAAACCTAAGCTTTGCAAGCAGCAAAGAAAAATGCTGTAAGTTTGCTAAAAACCCGTAGCGGATATTTCCTTGTTCGTTCAACCAACTTCACTTAATTTGTCTAGTACGTCTGTGCTCACTAGATCACGCGACTCCTTTGTTCCACAAACACTCAAATCACGTGACAAAACCCACTGATAACGAACGACCGATTTCGCCCTTCTCGGTAAAACATAAGGTCAATATTAGGAACTCTGCCTACTGGATGAGCCAGCTCCAAGAAGAGCGAAACCAGTTGTGGGCTGCCGACGATTTTTCAGCAACCTGGTGAGCAGTTTCATCCATGAAAATATACTGTGATATCCCGAATATCGTACTAGTTGAAACATGAGACAACCTTGGCGCAACACATTCAGTTGAAGAAAGCCACAGAAGAGGGTATCAGCTGGAATTCAGCTGAGTCTCCCGTGAAGATCAAATCAGAATGTAAATGAGTGTGCTTATCAAAACATGGTTTCAGGAGAGCACACCAAAGTATCACATGCATTAGCATCCCTCGGAGAAGACTCTTATTTCGAGGAGGTAATTTTAGTGGACTGGGATGTCGTTTGAGAATACGATTCAAAGAGATGAAAAGAAGCCATGCTCTTGTTCTTCTTCCCAAAGCAGAACCACAAGAGCGGTAGTTTTCTACGTCGCCGATCCCTACTCAATAGCTTACTTCTATTTTGAGCAGCTGATATCGTGAACTTTGCGGATACCGTACAGCCACTTTTGGGCAAGTTACTGTCGACCAGACGTGCCGCGATGTGACTCGTATTTAGCTTGGGAGGCACACGTTGAAAACGAACTGCAGGCAACCGAAAGTAACAAAACGCGACGTTTAATCCTGCCTTCAAAGTCAGGAGCAACAGCATGTGAAAATTCTGCCGTTAGCAACATGGTTTATGTTTATGTATTTTGTCTATGGTTCCAACTCCAATTCAGCACGAGGCTCGCTTGTGCGATCTGACGTGAACAGCAGCAGCCGACCGGAATCATGCTAATGAGGTCCCCTCAGTTAGTCCACTCTCAATGCTCAGTCCACGTTGTCACAATGGGGGGCGATTCTTTTTGGACGAGGTTAACTTGGGTTCCAAGCGATAGCAGATATATCAAGTGGCAGTACAAATGGGTCACTGAAGCTAGCTTTTTCAAGAGTTCCGGAAAATGGGACATCCTCCTGGGATGACCACTTTATCCTTCACAGGGTGGAGAGCCATCTCACCAGGATGGCCACAAATCTCGTCCTAAAAGATACTGAGAATTTCAAGATCCTCTCCCAATATCAATGGACTCCGTCAAAATTTGGTTAGTGAACACACTTCAAACCACCCTAATTGCATAGATCATTAGTCCTGAACCTGGCAAACTCGTACGTATTTATCTCCGTCATCCGGAGAGTTCATTTAAGCAGAGCACGAAAGCGAAGAGCTGATGCTAACACTGACGTTGATGTTGATAATGATGAATTCCAAAAGTATGCTCATTGTCATTTTATTGGACCCTATGAGCAGTGTACTCCCTCGAGAAAGTACTCATATCTTCATCATCGCTCCAGTGAGACACAACGATGACATCTAGCAAGCACATTTTGCATTCTACAGGGACAGTCCCTATCCTGCAAAGCCTATCCCATCCATATCCTTGGAAGCAGCGCGTAAATTTTTTCCGGTACCGCTTACAGTCGGAGATCAAAGAATGAAAAATCCCTAAGCACTTCATGCTGAACAAATTTGCTGGATCTGTTCAGTGACCCCAACCCGGAAATAGGGTTGTGGCACAGTCCAAGAGCATAGAGTTGTGGTTTGAAGAGGTCAACAAATCGACTGTCCGGAAAAATTTGGCTTCTGTTTAAAAACATCTGAAGTAGCCACTTAAGGACAACATATAATACCAGCTTTTTCGTAGAATAATCATTTTACAAGGGAAGAAATGGCACGACCCTTTTGGTTTCTTCTGATGGTAGTCGCTATTATGGAAGCGAAGTGCACCACCGGTGTGTGGTTCATTGTTGGGTCCCTTGAACCGAGAATTCCAACAAACATTCCTCATGGGTAGTTCAGGGGGCAGCGGATAAGGAGGATATCGTAGATAGGTGATTTAAACACGAATATCGAAAGTATGGACATGCTGGTCTATGGAATATTTGGTGTAATCACAAAAAAGAATTTCTTGGTATCGTGAAAAGATTTGTGAACTTTTAATGGAGATTTCGTCCTTTAAGTGGTGCCAACGTATGCTGCGGAGCCAAGAAAGAGAATAAATTTTACAATAAAGGAGCCACTCAATAAAAAAAAAGTGATCACGTGGTGTCTGGAGGATCAGTGACGCTATATCCTGTCGGGTCAGATTGTTGATCAACCGCTCGTGGCCGAACGGCTAGGTTTTTCAACTACCAGGTTCCAGACTCCCTGGAGTTTCACGTAGTGGATGATTCCCAATAAGGATGAAACAGCCATACAGCCCTTCTTGGCTTTCTAGGACTTGATCTCTACTGGAAAGTAGTTTCATTCACACTAGAACAACTAAAGTTTCGGTGCTTCTGTTGTTGCCTATCATGCGAGAACAAAACAGAGACAGTGACACTATAGTACTCCAGTAGAGTTTTCCTCAATAAATAGGAAACACGCTCGGCAAGCCACTTTAAATAGCAAGATTAAAAAAATGAAGTTTTGATCACAGCGGCCGAGTGGTTGCTGCTCAGGATCTAATCAGAGGATATCTTAAAACCCAAAAGAATGCCTAACTGGTCTGAGTATTCGTCCATTGGAAACGCATGAGGCGGAAATTCTTCTTAGGAATCGTTTGCATTTTAGGGCCTTCGTTTCTCTTCCATTTCATCATGATAATTTTTTGGACTACCTTTCTGATAGAGCAATGTTTAACCAATAATGGTATTGCTATAAGCGACTTCAGTCGTAAGACTATCCTAAGTATGTGTCGACCGTAATAAAAGGGTTCGTTTTGGCTACGCTGTGAAATATTCCGAAGTTGCCACTTAGTGTCAGTTTCGATTCAGATTTTCTGAATGAGTGTCCGGAGGTGTAGACACTCTAGAATGACAGTGGTAGACTTGCGCTAAGTCTATTCTCTACTCGCCTTTATTGTTTTTTTCACAATAAGGCTTTCAAATAAATCAGTTGTACGACAGCGAAGAACCAGTGTAGAACACTGATGTTCTGCTGTCGATGATGACGAGGAGGAGGATGAAATGGAGCCCAACTTACGTTAAACGGCAACTTTGTCTTGGGAATTCTCTTAGTCCAATTCCCTGCCTGATACTGCACCAAGTTGGATCCATTGAGTGCTTTCATTGCTTTGACCATTTCCCAATTCGTGCGAAGAGGCAGTTCTTTCTCATTCACATTGAGCACATATTGCCACTGAATCTTCTTACTGCGAATCAGCATTTCTGCACACACCAAATTCGCTTCGAGCACAGAAAACTCACCCCAAATCACGTTGACGCGTTCACTTGAGGGAACAAGCAGTACATTTGAACCGTAACAGTTTACAAGTTGGTGAACCCTCGAAGCAAAACTTTCCGGTGCTGTGGCATCGATGTGAACACAGTAGATATTATGACGTCGGTAGATTAAACGTAACAATCTGGCAAGTCTTTGATAACTTTCGTACGTCGTGATTATATAGGCGAGTGGAAAGTCTTGCTCCTCGACGGAGACCCAAGGATGCCGTCCGTTGAATCGTGTCAGTTTATCGCATGAGGTGTACTTCGGTTTTGCTGGTGAATAACCAAAGCTAAGCGAGGAGAGAAGCTCATTAGTGACCTCTCCAGCTATGATCTTGTCACATGTGGGCCATTCTAACAATGAAATTTTCTCATCCTGGGTTGTTTTGTCTTCTAAAGGAGCCTCATCTGTGAGCCTTAGTAGATTCCAGTAAATCCCAAAAAATACCATCACGATGAGAATAACAATTCTGTGGGCCCATGTTAATCGGACCAAAAGCTGCTTGAAGTGGTATGGATGCAAAGGTAACTTCATGCGGCAGTGTTTCAACCAGCATTTCAGTTTATGGTTTTCCACATCGTTTGACACCACCGCCACAACTGTTGAAATAAACAAGATCCTCTTTCACACAGACTGTTTTCTCATTTGACAGATTTAGCAGCTTCGTAGGTTGTTCAATTTCAGTTAGCCTAGAAGGGTGTCCGCTTGCCTACAACAGCCTGTATGAGGTAGTCACATGACCGTGGGAGATGTGAATAGTTGATAATCGATGGTTGTTTTAAATACACCTAGTGTGTTGATTCCCATGTCGATCTCAATGAAGCCGGCTACTTCCGCATGTTCCTGGGCACACAAAGGCCTCATATTCCACTCCAATTGTTCAGAGCAACGAATTTCAAAGTTGGAAATTGTGGAAGCATTGAATATATGAGTAACGTCTAGCCTGACATGAACGACTGACCAAGGGTAGAGAATCCACCCTCCTTACTGCACACACGCAGCCAATGGATGAGAGGTTCAGGACGCTTTATAATCTCGTGTGAATTTCGCACTGAATAGTGGTATTTAAGCATGAAGTACGGATCTGAAAGAGATTCCATCCCAATCAGCATTTCTGCACACACCAAATTCGCTTCGAGCACAGAAAACTCACCCCAAATCACGTTGACGCGTTCACTTGAGGGAACAAGCAGTACATTTGAACCGTAACAGTTTACAAGTTGGTGAACCCTCGAAGCAAAACTTTCCGGTGCTGTGGCGTCGATGTGAACACAATAGATATTATGACGTCGGAAGATTAAACGTAACAATCTGGCAAGTCTTTGATAACTTTCGTACGTCGTGATTATATAGGCGAGTGGAAAGTCTTGCTCCTCGACGGAGACCCAAGGATGCCGTCCGTTGAATCGTGTCAGTTTATCGCATGAGGTGTACTTCGGTTTTGCTGGTGAATAACCAAAGCTAAGCGAGGAGAGAAGCTCATTAGTGACCTCTCCAGCTATGATCTTGTCACATGTGGGCCATTCTAACAATGAAATTTTCTCATCCTGGGTTGTTTTGTCTTCTAAAGGAGCCTCATCTGTGAGCCTTAGTAGATTCCAGTAAATCCCAAAAAATACCATCACGATGAGAATAACAATTCTGTGGGCCCATGTTAATCGGACCAAAAGCTGCTTGAAGTGGTATGGATGCAAAGGTAACTTCATGCGGCAGTGTTTCAACCAGCATTTCAGTTTATGGTTTTCCACATCGTTTGACACCACCGCCACAACTGTTGAAATAAACAAGATCCTCTTTCACACAGACTGTTTTCTCATTTGACAGATTTAGCAGCTTCGTAGGTTGTTCAATTTCAGTTAGCCTAGAAGGGTGTCCGCTTGCCTACAACAGCCTGTATGAGGTAGTCACATGACCGTGGGAGATGTGAATAGTTGATAATCGATGGTTGTTTTAAATACACCTAGTGTGTTGATTCCCATGTCGATCTCAATGAAGCCGGCTACTTCCGCATGTTCCTGGGCACACAAAGGCCTCATATTCCACTCCAATTGTTCAGAGCAACGAATTTCAAAGTTGGAAATTGTGGAAGCATTGAATATATGAGTAACGTCTAGCCTGACATGAACGACTGACCAAGGGTAGAGAATCCACCCTCCTTACTGCACACACGCAGCCAATGGATGAGAGGTTCAGGACGCTTTATAATCTCGTGTGAATTTCGCACTGAATAGTGGTATTTAAGCATGAAGTACGGATCTGAAAGAGATTCCATCCCATAGGTGAATGATGAACACGTAATTCGGCTTGGTTGGCAGTCAATTCAGTTTAATCAAGGCTCGCGCCAACTGTCTCAGCCTTTAGTTATTGCCCCAACAGGGTTTCACCTGCGTACCAACGAGAATATGTGTACGTATGCGCAGTCGTCCACTTATCTCAACATCCAGTACCAATTTCTACCACTTTTCACGTGACGACCTCTCTTTTCAACAAATAAAAATCTCCGTCATTTTTCATCCATAGTTATGGAGGGTATTAAGGCTAATCAGCTTCAAATCGCCAGACTCACTTGAGCAATTAAGTGGTCCCCTTCGAACTAATTACCGATTTAGACCCTTACGGCGACTTGAAGGTGCGTAGGCGCCACCTAACAGTTCATCTACAGTGCTGTATTTACGCATTAATTAATCGGCTCCTGCCTCCAGTGCTCAGCTACCTACCCCACCTCCCCGAATCATTGGTGAACGAAACTGTGGCAGCTATAACCACTGTACGCCAAGTACGCTTGCAAGAAGCGGGCACGTGGAACGATTGAGAGAACCGACCAATAGGACGGCACGGGAATCCTAGAGCGACTCGTCTCAAAGTAAATCATTATGGTTTTTTATTTATTTATCATAATCACTAAACTGAAGAACATGGTTCCTGTGAATAACTGGACTGGAAACGAACCATTGGAACCCTTTCTTGGATAAGCAATATCTCTGAACTAGAGAAGTAATTTTGGCTTACTCGGTTTTCACTGGTTTGGTTGTACATTCGAACAGTCGCTGAAATGACGAATTGCGAGTATAATCGCTTCATATTTTCAGATGATTTTTGTGCTTCTTTGTGACGCTTCGTTGGAGCAAGCCATTGTGATTATGAGTAGCGTAGCTATGGGAATTTTGTAGCCACCCAGTCATCCACATACTTGACTGTTCAGCTCACAGTCGGTACCGTCTAGCGAGCGTACCAACTACTCATGTGCTATCACACGCAAACGGACCTACATATAGGGAAACCGAACACAGTCAGCACACGCAGACTCGTGTGCGTGCGCAGGGAACAGGAAGTCAACCACTCTTCACAAGTCCACGGACAATTATGGAACGCGTGTAGCAGTCGCACTGTGGAGAAAAGCACGTTCCCGCCGTCCGAACTCTCACCAAGGAACTCTCACATACGATAAGTTCCCTTTTGACATGCTCCGCATTTTATATTGCCTTTATTTTATACATGCTGCAAATCGCTTCTGTAAACTACTGTCAACCACAGTAAAGACTGCTATTAATGCACATACCTTCCGATTTGTATGATTTATGGCTATCACCACCTGTGCACTAATAATTTCAACCTTGACAACGCTTCCATCCGTACTAAGAATCATCAGCAATCTGCGCTTGTCGAATATCTATGGAGTATGGAACAATCAACCTTCGGTCAGTAGTCAACGACTATGTCGTTTAACCGCTGATAGCTTGTCTGATTCGTCTGCAATTAGCAACAACAACTACAACCGCCAGTTTGCAGAAGATCAAACAGAGCTTGGACATGTCAGCCAAGGAGGCTCTGACAGCTGCATCAACAGCCCACTACACATCCAAACTAGGGAGCTATGTTTCACATCGTATACAGGATCATGAACACTAAGAAGCTACAGTTTGTTGAACCGAATACTACCGGGAGATGAAAACCAGAACCTGAGGAGTGGCCCGGTTTGATATTCCGATGATGAAGAATCTTGTTTGGTTTCATTGATGCATTGATCTGACATTCTTCTGTGGTTTGTACTCGAAGAAATACAACGAAATACAGCAGGTGCATTGTTCCAGTGCGTGCTCCTCTGTGATGCTTTCAAATGATTCGAACAAATCCCAGAATACATGCCGCTCAAAGGGAACCGTCTTTTCTATCGATCTCATCCTGGGTGTTTGTTATATCTGCTGATTCGCCGACCTGTGGTATCTGCTGCTGACCCGCTCCAGCGCCTAGTGTCGGAGAGAAAAGGTCTCACGGAAGGGAACACAATAGCTATATTCCAACAAAGTGGTTGCGAGAGCGCGAGTGCGTGCGAGTGCGAAAAGTACAACGGCCTCAAGCTTTTCACTGGAAGGACACTGTCTGAACTTGGTCCAATGCTGACGCACGCGGTCTGACTTTAGTACGAGGCAGCGACGCGCTGCATATTGCGGAGGCGTTGTCTGTCCTTGATCAACGCTGACTCGCGCTGTCTGG